TTTTTTTTACTACTTCAAATAGCCCACAAGGGCTAATCCCACGCTTTAAGTCCCATCCCCCCTCCGTCCCTACTGAACCAGCCCCAGGCAACCATTGTTTGAGACCATCAAACTCGGGTCGCCTGGCCGGGAATCGAACCCGGGACCTCCCGATTATAGAGCAAGCGCTACAACCACTACACCATAGGAGGCCGACGTAGCCGACGTGGCCGACGTAATTACAAAGTTTATAAACTGGAGTGGACCAAAGAATTAGGGGAACGGCAAGGAACAGACGGAATGAGAGAGGAAATCGATGTTTTCTTCATCCTTTCAAAAACATTATCCAAAAATGTCGAGCAGAAAAAAATCAAATAAGAGCGAGAATGTTTGAACATCGCAATCGAGTATTTCCACCCCCGACAAGCTCTAGTCCTTACCCGTCTCACCAATCCATTTGGGAAACCGTTGGCGTGAAAACCCACTAAATACTAAAATTATGAAATCGAGAGAAAAAAACGGTCACGGGATCAGCATCTAAAAAACCCCCATCGGACGCAGGGATTCAATGAGCTTGTTCAGCAATTCGTAATTCTTGCATTTTTGGAAACTAGAGAGTGCACAGAGTTCACAGGAATTTTCCCCGATTTTTTTGAGCAATATTAACCCACGAAATACGAGTCNGGGGGGGGGGGGGGGAGAGGAAGAAATTGATAAAATTCGGATCAAAAATTAGCGGCACTCAACGAGCGTTCAACGCGCGGAGAAACAATTGCGTGGACTGAATACAAATAACGCATTAGCCGCCCGCCCGGTCTATCAATGGACTCTATCGATTCCTGCGGGTGGGGCGACGGGGGGTCAACGGGATGTAGGCAGGGTCTGGGAGGGGGGGGGGCTCTCTTGAAATCAGCGCCTGGCGAGGCGAGGGAGGGGATATTTTTATACCGCGATTCCGTTACGAGATTGAGGGATCCATGTTGAGTCCCTTTAAATCGAGAGTTAAGGCATGTATACACTGGTAAAAAAACCTCTTGGTTCAAGAGTGCAGTTTCTTGTCGCCGGATTTAAGAGTCTGGACTCTTGTTTCAATGCAAAATCCGCTTAAATCAATGCAAAATCCGCTTGAAACAGGAGTTCAAGACTCTTAAATCCGGCGACAAGAAACTGCACTCTTATAAGTCAATGCAATGCGGCATTGGTCCAAGAGGTTTTTTTTACCAGTGTAGAATCCATTTATTTCGATAGAGCTACAGGGCAGGAATCAAGTCTTTCGGAAAACGAAGAGTCCGATTTCTCGTGAAAAAAATTTTGCCTTTTAAAATAATCGCAATTTCAATAAACTGGAGGAGCTTTATTCGGTAACGTCTGACCGTGAGGATTGAATCGGCACTCAATGGATCGAGTCAATAGGAGAGGTCGAACAAATTTGGAAACTTTAAAAGCTCACAACTTCGTTTTTAAACATTTTGAAGTCTTGAAAATGGTTCTATTGGTTTTCTCGTAAAATTTCTATGGGACCTCTACTCAAAATTTAAAATTTGATGAAATAAACATCTGAATTTGCTGTTTTAGTAAACAAAATTCATGGGCGCCCTCTTCCATTGATACGGTCCATTGTGCGGCATTGACATCTTTAACTTTCATCTTTCATCTCACTTTTCACCTCTAACTTTCCTCAAAAATTAACATTTATCGAAGGAAATTTGGCAACTCTCGAATGTTCGTGCGGCGTTTTCTCTTAGCGCGGCAGAATTAGTCCGAGAGCCCGCCGGAACCTCGTAACAAACTTGGGACTCAAGTTTTGACCACTTAAATATGAAATGACACGGAGAATGGTTGTCTGGCACGTATTGGCACAGTGGCACACACTACAACGTGGCCAATGCTCAGGTTTAGCGTCAGTTCATATAACTATTCGATTTAAGTAGTCAAAACTATCAAACTGTAGTCAACAAAACTAGTCAAACTGTCACGCGTCTGTTACAAAAAGTCATCAGGCTCGGACCATAAAGACACCATAGCGTCGTGTCTTGAGATGCACACGAGCTTCCAAAACTACTATAAATAACTAAATCGTAAAAAATTCACTGAATTCACAAACAAAATGAAGACAGACAGCGGAGCGGCCAAAGAAGTTGGCGCTTAAAAAATTGAAAAGAAAAAGGGACGTGACCAGTGGCGTGGCGTGAATTGCGATATATCGATTGTTTTGCCATTTAAACCCATGGTAAAGAATCGATTATTAAGGTGTTCGCTGCGAACACCCTGTTTATCGATCCTTTCCCATTGGTTTAAACGGCATAAAAATCG